TTAAATCTCAACACAACTATCACTTCATCAAAACTTTCATTGACCACCTAATCTTAAATTAGTTTTATCTAGGTATTTTATTTTACATAACTCCTTTTGATTTTTAATTGTACTTTATACAATTAATAACTAGCATTTTTCCTACTCTTCCTACTCCAGAAGGTAGGGACTACTTTTATCTTGTTCACCTATACATACCCCGTTTCTAGAAAGCACCTAGTATGTAGCAAATGATCAGTAGAGATCTGTTAAATGAATAAGTAAATATCTTACTCTTGAATATATTTGTAAAATATAAATCTGTTTTATAAAATTGACATATATATATATATAATTTTGTATATTCAAACCAAATCCAATTTTTTACTTTATTTTAACCAACATTATAACATGAATATTTTCTTACATCATTTAAATATTCATAAGATAATTTTAATGACCCTCTAACATTATGTCAGATGGATGCTCAGTTTGTGCAATCACTCCTGTCATTGGTCACTTACACTGTTTGCAATTCTTTGCTATTATAAATAGCATTAGACTAAACCTCTTTGTCAAAAACATTTTTAATCAAATTTTATTCAGTAAGAGATTGCTCAATGTGGAATTACCAAGCCGAAGTGTATGAATGTGTTTTTTTTTTCCTATTGATATATTTTGCTAAACTACTTTCCCAAAACGGAGTCATCTTTTTTTCTTGCAGTAAAATATTAGCAAAACTAGTCTTGTATATATTGTGAATGCACAAAACCACCTCCACATGTGGTTCATAGAAAGCTGAACTTCAGGTAGGTGGGCACTTGAAATTTCCACTATTAATCATTTGTTTGCCACATAATCTCCAAGAACTCTATTTTATTTATTTATTTTTATTTGTTTTTGGTAATCCTCACCTGAGGTATTTTTCCCATTGGTTGTTGGAGAGAATAGAAGACGGGGGTAGAGAAAGAGAAACATCGCCCTGGCCAGTTTGGCTCAGCGGTTAGAGCGTCGGCCTGCGGTCCGGAGAGACCCGGGTTCAGTTCCCGCTAAGGGCACATACTTCAGTTGCAGTTTGTCCCCGGCCCTGGTTGGTCGTGCGGGTGGCAGCCACTCGATGTGTCCCTTCACGTCGATGTTTCTCTCTCTGTCTCCTTCCTCTCTCTCCCTCCCACTCTATCTGTACAAAAAATGGAAAATATCCTCGGGGTGAGGATTAAAAAAAAAAAGAAAAAGAAAGAGAAACATCAATGTGAGCAATATACAAAGATCGGTTGCCTCCCTCAAATGCCCCAACCAGAGATGGAAATTAAAACTGCAACCCAGCTATGTGCCCGTGACTGGGAATCAAACCTGGGACCCTTTGGTGCATGAGCTAATGTTCTAACTACTAAGCCATGCCAACCATGGCAAGGACTCTATTTTAAATATCCATGTATCCTGAGGGGTAATCCATGATGCTCTCAGGAGGCATAAACACAATATTATAAATTAGATTATTTTATTATATTGAAGAACTAAAGTGATACCTTTGAGAGAATGGAACATAGACTAGGTAAATTTTGATAAGCCCATGTCTATGGGAGAATGTAGGTTAAAGAATATCCAGATCTTATAGGAATCGTCCAAATGCCAAGATTATCTTATTTCACTTTATGCACTCAAAGGTCTAGAAAATTGCCTTTTACTTATGCTATCAATAAAGAGAATGGAAAATAAAACTATATTAATATAGGAGATTACAGAACCCTTCCATAGCCATTATTGATTTAATATTCACAAAAGTCTTTGGAGACAAATATTGGTAGCTTCTCTTTACAGTTGGGAAAACTGAGGCTCAGAGACTCCCAGTTAAATTAACTAAAATGACTTACCCAATATCAGACAGTCGCCAGGTAGAACCCGGACTTGGAGAAAATCTGTTTGACTCCAAAACCATACTTCTACTTCACTGTGCTGATTGAGTGAATGAACAAGAATAATAACACATAGACTGTCAAGACAGCAAAGGTAAGTAAGGCAGCTTTGGTGTAACCACACTGGGGGACTGAAACAGACTCTAAAGGAGGTAGAAACCAGAAAAAAAATAATAAGATAAAGCTAAGACTGATTTCTTCTTAGACTCTCCTGCTCCTCCCTCTGTTTTTATATCACTTTAAAAATTATTATGCAGAGGTGCCTCTCCTATGATTTGTATGTGTGTTTCTCATCACAGGGAAGACTTGGCCATCCTCTTTTGGTCTGTGGTTAGAAGGAATCTGCATCCATGGCATCTCTAGATATATGTAAAAAATCTAAGTGTAGCCACATTGTATATCAGGAACTAGTGATTCATTACTGTGGCTTGCAGATGACATATAAATAAGCTCATTAAGGCCAAATTCCTCTCCCTCAAATACTTCATTGTGTCTTAAATAACAAAAAAAAAAAAAAAAAAAGATTGTTTTAAGCAGTGAGATGAGGACTGTTATTTCTTGGTGGCCCACTAATTATATTATGAAAGTCTTTATAATTACTCTTCCAGAAGACACAGTTCTCAATTTGCCAGATGTCCCAAAAATGCAATGTTGGCCCAGGTTTTTATGCCTTGTCTTTATTTTGTCGATTTTTATACACATAACTATCTTGCCATTAAGCATGAGCAGACACTTTTGGGAGAGACTATTAGTAAATCTTTCTTTCATCTCAAACCAGGGTGAGACTGACCTTGTATTTTGCAAGTTGAAATCTACTGTCTTCCATGGACCAAGCATCTATAGGTTGCCAAATGGCTGAAGACATTCAAAAGGTCAATTTTTCTGGGGCTTACTAGTCAAACCCATCATTGTATTTTCTGATCAAATCGTAGTAGTCAAATGGCACATCTGTGCTTTTTGTTCTCTTTGACTATTTGATAATGGACAGATCATTAAGACAACCAGGTAATTCACATTGCTTTATTGTCCTGTCCCTCAGAGACCAACACATGTTTGAAATTTCTCCTTGAAGTTACATTTATTTTCAATTTAGGGGAACAGGAACAAAGTCTTGGTTTTATTCACTTTATTTATAATTGAACAAAATTTTTTTTATTTAATTAATTAATTTATTTTTGTTACAGATGTTTCTCCTTTTTCTTGTATTCTTGAAATTGTTCTGAAATCATGCTTAAATAAATTATGCTATAAAATTTCTGCTTAAAGTGATAGTATAGGTTATTAATGCATTACTGAATTTTATTTGCCAGTGTTTTATTTAGCTTTGTGTCTAGATTTAGAAATAACATTTAATTTTATATGTTTATTGTAATAGGAACTATGATTGCATTACAAAATGACTTAGATACTTACCTCTATTTCTATATTTTAGGTGTAATTATAAAAAGCGAAAATCCTATACTCATTAAAATTTTTTAAATGAATTGTGTGTAGTTGTCATTGGTGGAGATGTGTTTAATATTTCTCTTAATTTTTTATGCAGTCATGATTTCCGTTTTCTTATTTAATTTTTTATAATAGTTTCAATAGAAAATTTTCTATTTCAACAAATATTTAAATTTATTTGCATTGGAATTATCAGAGCATTGTCTTATATTATCCTGTGTTTATTATTGTGTTGGTTCTATCTACTACAATTTACATTCTTGGTCATTCTATTTTGGTCTTATAATGCCATATGCATAATTATTGTTTGTGCTTATCTGAGGCTTTCATTATGACCTAGCATATAACAAACTTTCATAAACATTCCATGGGTGTTTCAGAATCTACACTCCCTTTCGTGTGATTTAATTTCTACCAACTAGCCAGTATGCCTTAGTAGGTTTTATAATCAATCCAAAAATGTTATTTGTTCTGAAGCAATTATATTTCCTTCATTTGCCAAATTGCTGATTAATGCTTTATAATATTTTACTATTTTCTGATTAAAACTAACACGTTTACCAAAGAAATTCTGGAAAATCAGAAAAAAGTAAAGTAGAAATGAATCATAATTTATAATCAGTTCCCAAAGATAACCACCTTTAATATTTCAGTTTACTTTTTGAAGTTTTTAAGTGCATTTTATCTACTTATGGCTGAGTTCATTTATAACATTATATATTTATTCAAACTAATCCTCGGGGCTTTAATATCACACAAGAGGGTGAAATAAGCATTTACAAAGAATGGTGAGACAAAATTGAGATTTTAGGATATTGGAATGTATAAAATAAATCCTAATCAAGTATTGCAATATTCTAGATATACACTTTTCTTTTAATAAAAGGGAAATCCACTTTGAAATGTGAAGATTTCCCATAAAACTAATTATACTGTAATAAAATATAGGCTATTATTTTTTAGTCTAAACACATGAGCTCTGGACTCAGACTTACAGAGTTAAAACTCCTAACATTATCGCTAATATTAGCTATATATACTTGAGCAAATTACTTAAACCTCTATTTTACCTCTATAGTACTTAACCTCTATAGTATTTAAACCTCTACTTTATTTTTTATCTGAAAAGAAAGGATAACAAAAACTGCCTCGTGAAGTTGGAGAATTAAATATCCATATAAAAGCCTTCACATAGACTCAATAGATAGCTATTTCTGTTACATATTTCTGAATATTCACATGTAGGCTTATGGAATTATCTATATAATTTAAACCTAAGAATGAGTGAGAAAGCAATGATATATACTTACAATCAAACGTTTGCCCATAGTCATATATAAATCATTGTTTCTCAAAAACTGTTAAATATAAGCATTTTTGTGTTCACAGTGTTCATGATCCACTTTGCCATACCCCATCAAACAAAAGTCAAAATGCTATACCTGGCATTTAAAGTCTAGGCCTGTAATTTTTTTATGTTGATGTATAGTTAATATGCAGTATTATGTACAAAATAATTCAATATTTCTAAATATTTAAAAATTATCACCATGATAACTCTAGTTAACATTTGACATTATACCTAGTTACAGATTTATTTTCTTATAGACTCTATAAAATTATAGTCTATGGTGAAACTTTCTAAGATTTTCTCTTAGCAACTTTCAAATCTACAGTACAGTATTATTAAATATTGTCATTATTCTCTACATTGCATCCCCGTTACTTATTTATTTTATAACTGAAAATGTATACCTTTTGACACCTTTCACCATTTGCCTACCCTTCCAGGTTCCTGAAACCACAAATCAGTTCTCTGAGTCTTTTGTTTTAGAGTCCATTTGCATTTGGTTGAAAACATCTGTAAAAAGTTTATGTAGGTCTCTTAAATAAGAAAGTGGCTTAAATTTCAAAGAGGACCCAGGCAAATCCCATTTTCCTTTCTTCTCCCACAGTTTTCACACTATGGCTCCACCATCACGTCCCTACAACCACAACTATTATACAAGAGGACATTTATTCCTGCTGTTCACAAAGTTCGTTTAAAGAAATTGTTTGGCTGGTCTTTTGATCTTTGCGGGAGAAAAAACAAACAGTTAAACAAATTCGTAATTGAAAAGGTATTTTATTTTTAGCCAATCACTGATGAACCACTCTCCCTGCTCATGAGGCGGGAACGGGTCACAGAGCTGCTATGGCGGGATAGTTGGTCACGAAACTCTGAGGCCATGAAATAATAGAGAATTGGATCCAAAAGGCAGCAAATACTTGCAAGGCATAGACAAAAAGGGTGAAAATACAGTGTGCTTTTTACAATGGAACAATTGCTAATGATTCCTTCCTTTACCATAGTGTAAAAACTAAAGTTGATATGATAGGGAGTAAAGCATATGAAGAAGACTGCAGCACACATGAAAACCATCCGCAATGCTTTCTGCCTCTCATTGATGCCCTGGAAAGCTATTGGTGGCTGTCTCAAGGATATGGTAGTTTTCCAGGTGCACCATGCGATGGTGACGACTGGGATCACAAATCCTGCCAGCTCAGCAACTGTAACCATTCCAACCAAAGTCACTGCATTCATACTCTTGTATCCAAGGTCAGCAAAGCAGGATTCAGTTTTGTTGGCTAAATGTGTGCTTCTCAGGATGGGAAATGGCAAACAAGCAGTGCCCACGACAACCCAGATGGCAGCACTGATGCCCACATCATACCTACGCTTCCAGGCTCTGGCCCTGAAGGGCTTGAGGAGAAAGAAGCATCTCTGAAGGCTGATGCAGGTCAGGAAGCAAATGCTGGCATACATGTTGAGATACTTCAGGTAGAAGCACAGCAGGCAAAGGGTCCTCTGGAAAGGCCACTGGTGGCTGATGTAGTAGTAAATCCGGAGGGGTAAGGAGAGCACATGAGCAAGGTCAGCCACAGAGAGGTTGATCATGAAAATGATGGCTTTGTTTTTCTTGCTGATGAAGCGGCACAGAACCCACAAAGCTGCACTGTTGGCCAGAAGACCAGGGATGAATATGAGGATGTAGGTGGTTGCATAGAGGGTGTACTGAAATGTCAAATTAGTGACATTGCAGTTAGTTTCAGCATTGCTAGTACTGCTGCTTTGCATCTTGAATATTTCAGTATATTCATTAAAGTAAGCCGTAGAGTTATGATCCCTGCCCAAAGCAAAGAAAAAAAGTACAATGGTTAACCAGTTCCTTAGCCAACACCCAGATTTCTTTTTACACTTGAAAAGACATAGAATATAATTAGAAGGTACCTGTTTCCAGATGAATGAATAAATGCTCAAGGAAAATATACTATTGATCTCAAGTTACACAATGACTCGGTTAGAGCAGTGGTTCTCAACCTTCCTAATGCCATGACCCTTTAATACAGTTCATGTTGTGGTGACCCCCAAACATAAAATTATTTTTGTTGCTACTTCATAACTGTAATTTTGCTACTGTTATATCTTAGGTGAGTGACCCCTGTGAAAGTGTGGGTTGACCCCCAAAGGGGTCGCGACCCACAGGTTGAGAACCACTGGGTTAGAGAAACATGCAATTGTCCCCAAACTGCCTTCCCAGATAGTGAAAGTTGTCTTTTTCAGGCAAGGATGTCCTGAAATATTTAGTTTATTTTTCTCACAACAGCAAAAAGGGTGTGGAATTTGAGTCTTTCTTTTGTGTCCAAATTTGTCTTGCCCCAAGCCTTGGTTAAAGTGAATACTGATTGTAATGATAGGAATCGACCCTCGCCTTTTATATCCCTTTGTCTCTCCTTTGTCTGCTACCTTGCTTGTTGGGTCCCGACTTCCTACCTTGGCACCACAGCACTTGGAAAATGGCCCTGCCTCTCTCAGCCTGCATTGCCAGTATCCTAGCGGATTTTCAAGGCTTGTGCATGTTATCTCATTATTCTATCAAATTAGCTTCTTGTTCTCATGTGCTTTGTGTCTCTCCCTTGGCTTAGTTTGCATTCCAAATTTACATTAAAAATTTCAGTCATGTATGAATTTAGAAGCTTAACTGGGCTATTTCCCCTTAAGTGGTCCAGAAAAACAGAGAGTATTCTTTGTCTAAGGGGAATTCTATACTGGTGTGGCATCAAGGACATGACAGATTATCCAACAGTCACAGTAAACATTGATTTGGGCATCAGCAAAACATGCCACAAAAATCACTTCTTAGAAACAATTTAAGATTTAATTTTTTTTCATTAAAGTAGTCATCACAATACAACACTATGCAGCTGTAAGAAAGAAAGATCTCTTATCCTTTGAGATGGCATGGAAGGACCTGGAGAGTATTATGCTAAGCGAAACAAGCCAAGCAGAGAAAGACAAATATCACATGATTTCACGTATTTGTGGAATGTAATGAACAAAACAAGCTGGTGAACAAAATAGACCCAGAGACATGGAAGTGGGGTGCAGACTGACAAACCTCACAAGAGGGGGACAGCAGGAGGGAAGAGATAAACCATAGAACTTATACACATGTATGCATAAACAAGGACATAGACAATAATGCTGGGGGGGGGCAGCATTGAGAGGGGTGGCAGGATTGGGAGGAGGGTGTCAATGGGGGAAAAAAAGGAGAAACATCTGTAACAAAAATTAATTAATTAATTTTAAAAAATTCTACATGAAACAAAAAAAAGTAGTCATCACAAGGACTAAAATACCTTTGATAACCTTGGACTTCTTTAATATTATTTTATTATTTAGTATGTTTTTTATTATGTATTATATGTAGGGCCTGAGGAATATAGAATAATATTTAGGACTTCTCAAGGTCTGGCTGTGAATTTATGCAGGCTGCCTGCAAATAACAATGGTAGGAAAGCAGCAAACTCATTATTTCATTTTTCATCTTTTTACAATTTTAGACTGTGGAGGAACTTTGTAAATCATTTCATTCACGCTGCATGTAATACAGGTAGAAGAAGCAAGGCCCAATTCATTAAGGCCACAAAGCCACTGAACAGAGATCTGGGACTTCAGATAAGAGGAAAATATGCCTAACATTTACACACATTCTTCTCTTGATCATTTCTTTTCCCCTCAAAGACAAATTTTGCAAACATAACTTCTTTCCATTTTGCAGGAATGTTTATTGCATTTAGAGCTAGAAGTGAAAGAAATAATGCAGTGCGGTTATTCCTCAGGTGGAGTAAGAATTTTTGTTGTTATTACTTTATTTTATTTTATTTATTTTTTGATAATTCATGTATTATTTCAAACATCTGCTGCTGATTACATTGTGTTTAAGTAAAATTAGATGATAGTCATAATGCAATGAAGACTCCGCCAAATTCTTTGGCCAACCAACGCCAGTAGAGCTCAGTGGGGGCCACTAGAAAGCTAATTGTAATTAGGAGCTATTTTCTAGCTTTTTTTTAAATCCTCACCTGAGGATATTTTTCTATTTATCATCAGATCAAGTGGGAGGGAAGGAAAGAGAGAGAGAGAGAGAGAGAGAGAGAGAGAGAGAGAGAGAATCATCAACATGAGAGAGAAACATCAACTAGCTACCTCTGCACAACCCGACCAGGGGGAGGAACCACAATTGAGATATGTCCCTTTACCAGAATTGAACACACGACTCTTTGGTCCACGAGCCAATGCTCCAACCACAGAGCCAAACTGGCCCGGGCTATTTTCTAGCTATTTAAAAAAATGTATCTTTATTGTTGAAAGTATTACAGATGCCCCTCCTTTTTTACAGCATTGAAACACTCCTCCCTGTTCCCAACTCGCCCCCCCACCCCAACCCCTGCCTTCACCACATGCACTGTTGTCTGTGTGTTCATTGGTTGTACATATATACATATAAGTTCTTTGGTTTATATGTTCCCGCCACCCCCCCTTCCCTCTGAGTTTTGTCAATCTGTTCACTATTTCCATGTCTCTGGATCTATTTTGTTAGTCAGCTTATTTGTTCATTAGATTCCACAAATAAGGGAGATCATGTGATATTTATCTTTCTCTGATTAAGTTTATAAAATAAAGAGTGGACAAGTGTTTATTACAGATGTTTCTCCTTTTTCCTCCCATTGACATCCTCCTCCCCATCCTCCCCACCCAATCCCCAACTTTGTTGTCTATGTCCATTGGTTATGCATACATGCATATAAGTTCTGTGGTTTATCCCTTCCCTTTCCCTCTTCTGAAGATTGTCAGTCTGTACCCTACTTCTATGACTCTTGGTCTATTTTGTTCATCAATTTGTTTAGTTCATTATATTCCAGAAATAAGTGAGATCATGTGATATTTGTCTTTCTCTGCTTGGCTTGTTTCACTTAGGATAATGCTTTCCAGGTCCCTCTATGTCATTACAAAGGATAAGAGATCTTTCTTTCTTACATCTGCATGGTACTCCACTGTGTACATATACCACAGCTTTTTTATCCACTTGTCTACTGATGGACACTTGGGCTGTTTCCAGATCCTAGCTCTTGTCAATAGTGCTGCTATGAACATAGGGGTAAATATATTCTTCCTGATTGGTGTTTTAGGCTTCTTGGGGTATATTCCTAGAAGTGGGATCACTGGGTCAAAAGGCAGTACAATTTTTAATTTCTTGAGGTAACACCATAGTGTTTTCCATAATGGCTGCACCAGTCTGCATTCCCACCAGCAGTGCACTAGAGTCCCCTTTTCTCCACACCCTTTTCAGCACTTGTTATTTGATGATTTATTGATGGAGGCCATTTTGACAGGTGTGAGGTGATACCTCATAGTTGTTTTAATTTGCATCTCTCTGATGGTTATAGGATTGGCAATGATACATCAGATAAGGGGTTAATTTCCAAAATATATAGAGTACTCACAACTCAACAAAAGGAAGACAAATAACCCAATTAAAAAATGGACAGAGGACCTAAAGAGACACCTCTCCAAACAGGACATACAAATGGCCAACAGACATGAAAAAATGTTCAACGTCTTTTCATTTTCTTAATGGTTTCCTTTGCTGTACAAAAACTATTTGGTTTGATCTGATACTTCTGCCACCATACATAGAATACATTGACTATATTCTCTATGCTGTACTTTACAATCCCATGACTATTTTGTAACTACCAATTTGTATTTCTTAATCCCTTCAGTTTTTTAACCCAGTCCCCCTAGGCCCCTCCCCTCTGACAACAATCAGTCTGTTCTTTTTGTTAGTGTTTTGGGTTTCTTTAGATATAGTCTAGAAGTGGGATCACTAGATCAAAAAAGAGTTGTATTTTTAATTTTTTTGAGGAAACTCCATACTGTTTTCCACAGTGGCTGTACCAATCTGCATTCCCACCGACAGTGCACAACACTTGTTGTTTGTTGATTTATTGATGACAGTCATTCTGACAGGTGTGAAATGGTATCTCATTGTGGTTTTAATTTGCAATTCTCTGATGATTAGAGACATTGAGCATCTTTTTATTTCTATTTGCCATCTGTATGTCCTCTTTGGAGAAGTATCTTTTCAGGTCCTCTGGCCATTTTTAATTACATTGTTTGTTTTTTAGGTGTTGAGTCTTATGACTTTTTCACAAATTTTTTTATATCAACCACTCTTTGGATGTATCATTGGTGAATATATTCTTGCATGTAGTAGGTTGTCCTTTAGTTTTGTTAATGGTTTCTTTTGCTGTGCAAAAATGTTTTAGTTTGGTGATGTCACACTTGTTTATTTTTTCTTTTTCCCTTACCCAAGGAGATACATTAAAAAGAACATTCTTAAGAGTAATGTCAGAGAGTTTACTGGCTCTGTTTTAATCTAGGAGTTTTATTGTTTGGGGTCCCCAACATCTTTTTTTTTATGTTTATTTAAATAATTATTTTTCAATTACAGTTGACATACAATATTATATTAGTTTCAGGTATACTCCCAGTAATTAGACAATATATAACTCAGTAAGTGATCATCACAATAAATCTGGTACCTATCTGACATTATATATAGTTATTCCTATTTTAATCCCATTGTACATTCTTGCCTCCTTTTCTGTATATTAATTGACCATGTAAATGTGGTTTATTTCTGGGCTGTCTATTCTGTTCCATTGACCTATATGCCTATTTTTATGCCAGCACCATGCCGTTTTGATTACTATAGCCTTGTCATATAATTTGATATCACATAGAATGATCACTCCAACTTTGTTCTTTTTTCTCAAGATTGCTGTGGTTACTTGGGGTCTTCTGTGGTTCCACATGAATTTTAGAATTATTTGTTGTATTTCCATGAAAATGCCATTGTTATTTTGATAAGGATTGCTTTAAATCTATAGATTGTTTTGGGTAGTATGACCATTTTAACAGTGTTAATTTTTCCTATCTATCAGCACAATATATGCTTTCATTTATTTATATCTTCTCAATGTCTTTATTCATTGTCTTTTAATTTTCCAAGTAAATATCTTTTACCTCTTTGGTTAAATTTATTCTTAGGTATGTTATTTTTTTATGCAATTGTAAGTGGTATTGCTTTCCTAAATTCTTTTTCTAATAATTCATAATTGCAGTATAAAAATGCAACCAATTTATGAATATTAATTTTGTATCCTGCTACTTTACTGAATTCATTTATCAGTTCTAATAGTGTTTTTGGTAAAATCTTTAGGGTAGTTATAAAATAATCATAGGGGTGTAAAATATAGCATATACTCAATAATATTGTTATAACTATGTATGGTGCTAAGTGTGCTCTAGACATATTGGGAAGATCACTTTGTAAATTATTTAATATCTAACCACTATGCTGTATACCTGACACTTATAAAGAACAGTATTATATTAATTTCAGTTGAAAAAAATACATTTAAAATGCTATCAAAAAATAACAAAAAACAAAAACAAAAGATAGGCCTACTTTTAGATTATCCTTGTAAGAAACAGAATGACTTTCTATATTTTTTAAGTCCTGTTCCAGGAAATAGAATAAAAGAACAGGATCCCAAGTGATTAATCCACAGATAAAAGAGAGCCCACAATATGAGCTACCGTTACTTTAAATAGCACTTTTCACTTTTTTGCCCCTTAAATTCCATTCTCCCTACTTGTATGTGCAATATGTTCTACAAAGTTACGCAGTCTTCTTGCTATGAATGCATGCCTTTAAAAAGAGGATTGAATGGTGCTCACAGGAAAAGACAGAAAATAATTATCATGGTTTGACTATCAATAATGTACCCCAGAATCTGCAATCGATTTTTTTACATGAATTATCTAATTTAATCCTTTCAACTATCCTAAAAGGTGGGTACTACTATTATTATCATAATGTAGATGAGGAAACTAAAGTTCAGAGGGGTTCAATAAATTGCTTGAGGTAACAAAGCTAGAAAATGGTAAAAAATGAAATGTACTGTTACTCCTGACTTGATCCAAAGTCAATGCTTTTTCCACTACACCACTTGTCTCTTCCTACTCAGGAGGGACTATTTAATAGAATGGGGTTCATTGTGACACTTGAAGGGCATATTATGGCAGAACCTTTTTAATGACATAGACAACCTTATTATCTTATAACACTAAGATTACTCTAGTTAGGCTATCAGGATATAAATAAATACTTATCCCCACACCTATCACCAATTCCTCCTTACCACTCACTTTGACTTTAGTACTGGTACTGCTTCTACTCTTATCTATCATGTATGCAGAGGTTGTGAAAGAGCAAGGGATGCATCAAGTGCATTTCAATTTTCCAAAATAAGAACGGCTTGCTCCCACCCAAATCACACCTCCACTCCTGCTTTTTACCGATATGGGTATTTGTTTCTCATTCACTGGTGTAGTAAGTGTCACTCGCTAAAGGGACATGTTCTGTTCACACTTTTGTGTTAAATAACAGAGATCTATCAGACTAGAACAGCAAACCAGAGGTCAGGTTTACACTTTCTTTTTTCTTGTGGGTTCTTATACCTTTGCAATTCACAGTTTATTATGAGTTTAGAGATTTGCATGGCCTGCTCTCCAAAATTTCTTCTCTTCTCCAAACTGAAAGGGAAGTAGGATGGGTGTTTTTTTCCTCCCAAAACCTTTTTGGTGATGATGAAATGTAAAATCCCCATAGTAGGCTGATGCTGGTAAAATTTTTTTTTTTTTTTTTTTTTTTTGGTAAGGCAGAAACATTAACTCTCAGAGAGGAAACATTTAGCTTGCTGTGGACAATCTGTGAAATTTCTGAAATTTAAGAGAGAAGGACAACCTAAGCCACTAACAGGAAAATGCTGGAAGGAAGGACTAAGGTTGGAGTACGTGCCTTCTCTCTGTGTCTGCCTCTACCTCTGCCTCTGCCTCTGCCTCTGCCTCCATCTTTCTATCTTTGGTGCTGGCTCTATTGTTTACTATTTCTGATTGTTTTTTGTCCACTATGCTGTCAGTTTCTCTCCTCTTCAATCTAGATGTATTTTTGTTTCCTGTCTTGGGATGAGGTGTGAGACTGTTGAATCACTCCTAAATCTGAGTTCCCCTTCTCCGTCTGTGCCAGGACTCTCCTCCCAGGAATTCAAGCTGGAAACTGGGGATTTAAACAACCCCTATCACGACATTTTGCCAATATCCAATCTGAAACCAAGTGATTCTCCCTCTTAGAAAGTTCTCAAATTCATCTTCATTCTATATGTACTTTCACTTAGCCATCCTAATCCAGGCCACTGTCATCATTCCTCTTGACTATTGTGACAGATGCTTTAGTATACTCACTGTACCCCAGTTTTGACCTGTGTAGTCCATTCCCCATACTGTATCTAATACTAACATTAATTATGACTGCCATTTATTGAAAGCTGCCATTTATTTATATCCTAAGCACTCTTCACATATTATCTAATTAATCCTTATACAAGCTCTATGATTATTTCCATATTACAAATGAGGAAACTCAGACCAAAGGAGGTTATAAGTTGCATAAAGTAAAAAATATATACATTTGAATATTGTAGTAATGATGTATTAGAATTGAAACCCATGCTTGTCGCCATACTCTCTTATCCTTGTCATGGCACTTACCACACCTATTGAGATGTTTTTCTTTAATTAAATTTTGCACTCCTTGATGGCAGGGACTGTGTCACTTCTTGTCCTCTTCTTAGCCTTTCCACACTGTGGCCAACATGATTTTTAAAAAATGTATCTTTATTCTTGAAAGTATTATAGATGTTCCCCCCCTTTTTCCCCTCATTGATCCTCTCTTCCCTGTTCCTGCCTCCCCACCTTCACTATACTATGTCTGTGTCCATTGGTTATGCTTATATGTACATTGGTTTATCTCTTCCCACCCCCTACCTCCTTCCCTCTCAAGTTCATCAGTCTGTTGCCTGTTTTTATGTCTCTGGACCTATTTTGTTCACCAGTTTATTTTGTTTATTAGAGTCCACATATAAATGAGATATTTCTTTGAAATATTATATCACTCTCCTACATAAAAATCCTTTGCTGGTTCTCTATTGCATTAAGGCCAAACTTCTCACTGTAGCCCTAAGGCCATACTTAATATGGCTCTGGTGCCCTTCCAGATATCTTCATGCCATTCTCTTCTTCTGCCTTCTATGTTTTAACTTTAACTTTTTAGAACAAGCCAAGCATCTGTTCCTGACAAAGTGCTCTGCACGTGTAGTTTCTTCTATTGGGAATTCTCCTTATGTAGATCTTCACAGATCCGACTCCATTTAATCTCAGTTTTTCTTAATATTTATTGGCTATTTCACCAACTATGTTGTTAGCTCCATTAGTGCCATAACAAGATGTGTTCAGTTCATCACCACAGAGCCAAGACATAGGCTGCTACTTAGTAAGCACTCAAAGAAAAGTAGTACAATTTAATTGAATTACATACAGAATAGTTTAAAGTCCCTATTTGGAAGCATTATGCAAAAATACAAACCCTGATATGTCAACAAATACATTTCTGTTGCTTGCTGCTTTCCTAAAAATTTCGATTTCCTGGATTTCCTTTAAAAAATCTTCTAATTGGGCTATTATTGTCAACATTCCTTGCACCTACCCTTTCCAACTTATAAAAGTCATGCCTGAGTGCTACACCCAAGAAAGATGGAGTCTGCAGTGAGGGAGACAGCACAGGGACCCTGGCAGCTGTCCTTTCAGCTCTCTCCCAAGCCTCAAACCCCAATCTCTCCTCACAAGACTCTGTTCTACTCCACCCTCCCTCTGCTGGAGTCCAGGAAAAATGCAAGGTTCCTATCTGATTATTCCCAACCAATTGCTGATTACTTGAATTCTGTCCAACAAGCTGAAATGTTAGTTAACACCTGAGAACACTATGGAGCCCATTGTAAGGGTTGAAGATTCAGAAAATGAAAAGGAAACAACAGTATCCATATGAGAACATCCCAACCATATGGGGGAAAACTTCAGTATGACAGTCAAAGGAGGAAAACCATGACCAGTCAGTGGATCAGCAGCACAGTTACAACCAAGAAATGCGATTACAGGATCAAGAGTACCATGTAGACAATAAATACTAGGCAAAATCATAATATGTGAGAACGCCATCTCCTCAGTATATACTTCAGACCACCCTAGCTCTGTATTTGGGAACCCACCGAGACAGATAGGAGAGCAGAGTTTCCGATGCCTCCTCTTTGTTCCTCCAGTGTGCAGTGCTCTGTTCAGGGTACACACCACCTACACCAAAATATCAGGACCATGAGGAGGGATGTCTCTTCTCTTGAAAGAGGGGTTTGGTGACAGGAGCTAAACCCTAAAGGGAAACACAGAGTTCTAATCTAATAATCAGAGCATATAATCAGCTACCACTTCTAAACTAATAAGATTACTTTCAATGTGTGCCTCTAAGGATGTTCCTGATAATGAAGGTTGGTGTAAAGTTATGACTAAAACTTCATCAAACTCCTTTTGCCCTGAATCCCATCTCAGAGGTAAATATTTGGCTCCTGTCTCAAGTCTCATTTCTATCCTCATCTTTTTCTTGCACTTGGCAACACTATTCTGACTTCATACTTTTTTGTACTCTTAGTGAACTTACAGGCTTCAAGATAAGAATGTCTTTGAGGGAAATCTCTGTATCTTAGACTTTTATATTCTTCACTTTGCTTAATGGGGATTAGGCATGCAGTGGAGTTTCAGTTCATGCACATTGATTTGTATCGGTAAGATAATGAAGAATAGACATGTGTTATGGGAGCTTTAGGCAGTTTTACTTCTAATGTCTCTCTTAGGAGTTACTATCTCAAGCAACAGCTATATTCTCCTGCTACTGAGGAAAATATGGGAAAGGCAAAGATAATAAGGTTGAAGTCTAATAAGTATGAACACCTAAGAGCTTCAAAGCTTGTAATCTCAGCTTTTTATTTAAAATCCAACAGGAATCCTATAAACTTAAACAGAAATTTGGTCATTACACACTTCACTTTATGAGATAACTAAAGTTTGTCTCAGAACACAAAGATATGTCAGGTCTTTAAATATAATTCAAGGAAGCTGAGTACAAGAATTTAGTATGTACCAAAAACATCTACCCAAAGCCTGCTTTTCTTTCCAACCGATTGCTTAATACTGTGGCTTCACAAAGGTACAGCTAACAGGAGCTTATATTATTGTAACATCAGAATTTGTATCATATTCCTAGGTCTCAGTGAAATACTAAATCCAAGAAGTTTTTATACTCATTCTGTCAGTCAATAGCTAAGAGCTCTTCATATGTTAACTCTAATCCTTGTAAGAGCTCTGCGATTATTATTATTATACCTCTTTACAGATCAAAAAATGAGGCTATCAAGGTTAAGTTTGTTTCTCAAAGTCACAGTTATTATGAAATCAGTTGTAATAAGGCTCTTCATGATCAGAGAAAGTTAAAATTCATCCTATGTAAAAATGTATTTCATACACACACACACATTCTTTTTTCTTTTAATACTTAATTTACTAATATTTTTTTTTTATTACAGATGTCCCTCCTTTTTCCCTCTTTGATGCCCTCCTCCTTGCTCCTGTGCCCCATCCCACCCCAGGCCTTAACCACAATGTTGTCTGTGTCCACTGGTTGTGCATATATGCATATAAGTTATCTGGTTTATCTCTTTCGGCCCTCACCCACCCCTGAAACTTTCAAGGTCACTGGTCCAGCCTGACCTTGCCCAATTTAAGCGTTGCCTTTATGTCTCTCCTCTGGAACTTCATGTAGCAGCCTGACACTGGGGTCAACTTGCCTTTATTTTCTATGATGAACACATGAGGAGAAACTGACAAATCCATTGATCCTAATATTTTTATTGTTGGAGTCTTGTTGATTCTCTGTGAATCATTTCTATTTGATTGTACTATGTAGATTTAATACCCACTAGGGATATGTTAATAAAACTATAAATGCATAGTGCAATACCGAACAAAAATATTTTTTGAACAATTTATATAGAAGAGTAAGTTGTTTTTAGTGTTAGGCACATTTCTTTTAGGAACTTAAAATGTTATAAGAATTTTTTAAGCATTCAATATTTTTAATTATAGGAAGCATTTGTTACTAGAGCCAATTATTTCAGGTGCTCAAAGTGGAGTATTGATTTTATTACCTCATATACCTCTAGAATGCCATATGTTCTGTTAGAGATAAAATTGCACAATAAATGCCAAGTCTCTGTTAAAAAAAACTCAGTCATATATTTTAAAGTGGCACTTCTGTGAATAAGAAGGTTCTTCAAAGATGAAAAAGCTATTGTTCTTCGTCCTACTTCTAGCACGTGTGTGTGTGTGTGTGTGTGTGTGTATATATATATATGACAAATGACTGCCCACCAGGTGTCAGGATAGGGTTGTGTCAAAACCAATCATTATGGAACTTACTCTGTGAGCTCAAATCATAATAGATCTGTGTATAGGGTACTGTAAAAAAATTATGTATAACAGTGGTGAGCTAGATAAGACAAGATGTTGTAGAATGAGGAACACTCAAAAGCAGTAGAATATATTGAAAAGAGAACTTGATTTAGAGCTAAGACACTTGGATTCTAGTAACTATTCAAATACTAATTTTACTATTAATTATTAACTATTCAAATCCAAATGAACTATTTCCATACTAATACTAATTCTAGTAACTTCAAATCTTTGTGTTGCTGTGCTAAACCCCTTCCATTCTGTGGGTTTCATTTCTCTCGTTATTAAAATAAGACAATTTAAACTGGATGATTTTTTTTTTCTATTACAATTTACTTTCAATATTATTTTGTATTGCATTTAGGTGTGTACAGCATAGTGGTTAGACATATCCTTTACAAAGCATTTAACTGATATTTCCAGTAGCCAACTGACACCATACATAGTTGTCACAATACTGTTCACTATATTTCCTATGCTTTAATTTACATCCCCCCTGACAATTTTTTAACTATCAGTTTGTACTTAATCCCTTCACCTTGTTCATCCAGTTCTCCAACCTCTCTTTTCTCTGGCAACCACCAGTCTGCTGTCTGTGTCTTCTATGAGTCTGCTTCAATTTTATTTTTTTATTTTTTTAATTTTTTTTTTTATCCTCACCCGAGGACATTTTTCCACTTTTTTCAGATAGAGCGGGAGGGAGAGAGAGGAAGAGAGAGAGAGAGAAACATCGATGTGAAGGGACACATCGAGTTGCTGCCACCCACACGACCAACCAGGGCCGGGGACTAACTGCAACCGAGGTACATGCCCTTAGCGGGAACCGAACCCAGGTCTCTCTGTACCGCAGGCCGACGCTCCAACCACTGAGCCAAACCGGCCAGGGCCAATTTTATTTTTGAACTAGATATTCTTCGAAGCCCATCTAGCTCCAACTTGCCATGACTTTGTGCACATGGATCCTGTCAACCACTGACATTAATACCACCAGCACTAACACTGCCATAATTGATGCAGCAACCACTATCTCTATCAACGTGACAATTTACACTTTACAAAGATATTATTATTACATCTATAATTGCTGTTAATTTTTATTAAATTATATAGTGTAAGTAATAAGGTAAGAAGATATCATCCCCATTTTAAAATCAGAAAACTAAGGCTCAAAAAAGTGACTTAATTTACCCTAAGACATAAGGTTAGCAAGTGACAGGGTAAGGTAGGTAGAACCTAGAACTCTGGCATCAAGATGAATGCTCTTTTTCTAGTACAACTTTACAAAGCTTCATTCTATCATTTCCCCCTCTTTTCATCCCTGGTTGTGTCACTAATACCACTAAGTGAACATGTTTATCAAATTTTCTTCTCTTATTTTCTTTGATAATAGTGCCTGTAGGTGGGCTTGTCATTTTTGGGAAAAGGGAAAATTAAATAGGGAAAGGTTGCTGATGGAGACAGCACCTACCTCCTAGGGGACAACCTTTACAGTCCATTTGGGAAACTGAATTGCTTTGCTTTTTTAAAAAAACCTTTTTCTTCCTCTATGAACCAAAAAAAAAAAAATCTCACATGAATTATCCAAGGCAGTCTGACCCCCATGAACACAGTATCCTTCATTCAGTGACTCACAACCATAGTCAAAGAAGAGCAACTGAAATTTGGAACTCTGCTGTGTCCTGAATTAATTGAAATCAACTCTAAATAACCCATGAACATTTGGATATACCATGAAAGTCTATGAATTTTCTATAAATTCAAGGAAGTGTAAATTATTTTTATCTTTGAAGTGAATTAAGACAGACTATTCACACATTAATATCTCAAAATTCGGATTGAACATGCCTGCATGCATTCTTATTAGATTTATAAAATAAATTTTAAAAGGTCTAATTTGATATCATTCTGGCAGTTGGGGCAGCATTATGGATGTAGAAAGAATTATGTCTTTTAGGCAGACCTGGGGCCATATCTTGATTCAGTTATCTGCTTTCTAGCCTGAAACAACTCATTTCATATCTCTGGGCTTCAGTTTTCTCATTTATGAAATAAGGATCATAGTGCCTGCAACATAGATCATTGTGAAGATTAAATGAAAAATGTTTGTCAAAGTACCAATTTTCATGTCTGGTACACAGTAGACATTAAATAAATGTTAGTTCATTTCAGCTTCATTTGTACAAAATGTAATCTCTATAGGCCTTTGGTTAAATTCTGTACTTTTCTGGGTTTAGAGAATCCTCCAAAAAGTAGAGTTGTGAGAGATTGCCAGCAGAACTAAAAGCAATAATTCTTAGAGTTTAAGGGTGGGGAACATGTGTTACTTGAAAAAAATAATATTTCTTATTGTAGAAAATATATCTGGAAATCAAAACAATTTCTCTATAATACAAACTGATAAAAGAACAGATCTACAAAATATTTTTGGCTTTACTTGGAAAACTTAAATGTGATGTTGTAAATTTTCCTAGGAGTTCTTATAGTGAGATCTTTTTGTTTTTCAAAGGGAACTTTCATTTTAAAGATTGAGAAATACTCTTTGAGTGACATTGTCATTGTGGAAATCAGATTTCAGAATTATTTCCCTTGTTTAAAAGTTGAGGATATTATGATAAAAATATTATTAAAAAGTATAAAGGCCCTTGGCAAAATCTACTGAGTTCCCTTTGACATATAGACTATATTTCCACAAGGCTTCCTCTAGCTAGATTTCTACACTATGGCCCCAGTATTTGCCACTCCATGATATGTAACTCTTCTCAGGTGCCTAGGGGACTAGAGTAAAATCATTGTATTGCTAGAAAGGAAATTAAAGATTATCTATTCCAATATTTCGCTCTTATTATAGGTTACAATATTGAAATTCAGAGAAATAAAGCAACTTACTCAAGGTGACACAGTGAATTACTGGCAGAACTTGAACTAGAACCAAGACTTCTTGACTCTCTTTGTATTAATCCATCTACTTCATCACTCTGCCTATGACACATGTGAACCAAACTATATGAAAACATCTAGCAAAATTCCCGATCTAGAGTGTAAGTAGATTTTTGACCAAATGTTTTTAAATAAAGCATAGACTAACATCCAATCATTACCCTGATTATTAGAATTCTTAGAAAGGGTGATTTCACAGCAGACAAATTTGTTCTCTTTGCTAAAGCTGTAACAGAGGGCTACAGACTGCCCTGCCTCTTAAGACACCAACTAAGTGGTAAAAGCTGACATCCCTGTCTTGTTCTTGATCATAAAGGAAATGCTTGTAGTTTTTGCCCATTGAGTATGATGTTGGTTGTGGGTGTGTCATATGTGGTCTTTTTTTTAGGTATCCTCCCTGTATTTCCACTTTTCTGAAAGTTTTAAAAATTTTTTTTATCATGAATAGGTGCTGAATTTGGTCTGAATCTTTTTCTGCCTCTGTTGGCATGATCATGTGGCTTGACCCCTTCATTTTGTTTATGTGCTGTATCACATTTATTGATTTGTGGATATTGTACCAACCTTCCTACACCATACACAAGAATAAACTTAAATGGATTAAAGACTTAATTGTTGTACTCAAAACCTTAAAAATCCTAGAAGAAAGCATGGGCAATAAAATCTTTAACATTTTTCATAGCAATATTTTTTCTAATATATTTCCTCAGACAAGGAGAACAAAAGAAAAATAAACAGATGGGACTACATCAAATTAAAATGTTTTGCACAGCAAAGGAAACCATCAACAAAATGAAAAGACAACCCACTAAATATGAGAACATATTTGCCAACCCCCCCAAAAAAGGGGTTAATATCCAAAATTTACAAAGAACTTATCAAACTAAACACCAAACATCCAATTAAAAAACTGGCAAATGACCTAAATGCATACTTCTCCAAAGAGGACATATAAATGTCCAATAGACATATGAAAAGATGCTCAACATCACTATTCATCAGAGAGATGCAAATTAAAATGACTATGAGGTATCGCCTCACAGTTGTCAGAATGGCCGCCATCAACAAACAGCAAGCACTGGTGAGGATGTTAAGAAAAGGGAACCCTCATTCATTGTTGGTGGGCAGGCAAATGGGTACAGCCACTGTGGAAAACACTATGGGGTTTTCTAAAAAAATGAAATGGAACTGCACTTTGACCCAGCAATTTCACTTCTGGGAATTTATACAAATAAACCCAAAACACTAATTTGAATATATGCACCCCTATGTTTAGAGCAGTGTTATTTACAATAGCCAAGATTTGGAAGCAGCCCAAGTGTCCATCAGTAGATTAGTGGATAAAAAAGCTGTGTTCTATTTATACAATGAAATACTACTTGGCTGGAAAAAAAAAAAAAGGAATCTTACTTTTTGCGACAGCACGAATGGACCTGAAGAGTATTATGCTAAGTGAAATAAGCCAGTCAGAGAAAGACAAGTGCCATATGATTTCACTCATATGTGGAATCTATTGAACAAAATGAACTAACAAGCAAAATGGAGACAGACTCATATAAAAAGCCTGCTGACAGCTGTCATGGTGGGGTGGCTGGGAGGGGTAGAGAGATTGAACAAAAAAGATTTTAAAAAAGAGAAAAAAACTCATGTACACAGACAACAGTGTAGTGATTGCCAGGGGAAGGGTGGTTTAGAGGGAGGTGGAAGAGGGTATAAGGAGGATAAATGGTGATGGAAGGAGACTTGACTTGGGGTGGTGAACACACAGTACAGTATATCAATGATGTGTTGTAGAATTGTGCACCTGAAACTGTATAATTTTGTTAACCAGCATCACCCCAATAAATTCAATTTAAAATAAAATAATAAAATGAAAAAACAAAAGGCACCAATTGACTTAACTTAGACACAACTGGTTATGAAGGGCCACCAAAAGCCACCCTGAGGTATGTTCACTCTTTTGACATTGTATGCTCACCAATGTCAGAATTTGAGCAGACTACACAACTTGAACTCAACAACTTTTCCAAATGAGCTCAAAGAAGAGCTGCTTTTGACCAAAGTAGGACTTGTGTTCAACAGAAACCATTGCAGACAATTACCCTGAATGCATGACCTGATTATTTGTACACTTTAGGCCATTTCCTGCCTCAGCATATCGCCTATTTTCAGCAGTGAATAATTTCACTGTCACAATTGCTAAGAGATAAATTCAACTAATAGAAATGGTCGTGACCCCTACCCCCATCCATTTTAACAACCAAAATAAAGATGTCCCCACTTGCAGAATCCTTAGTACTAAGACTAAACCCTCCAATAAAGCACAACAAAGCTTGGTAACATTCTACTCAGAATGATTCTGGTAACCAACTGGTGTGGCCCAGACCACTTTTAAGGACTCCCCAAATGAAAGTCTATTTTTGACTCAGTCATGTTGGCTCAGAATCAGAGAGTTTGCTAGCATTCAGAATAATGAGAACAATAGTCAGTGAGAGATAGGTGCCTCTCTTTTGGGCTCTGTTGTCCAGTAGGGCTGAACTTGAATCAAAAATCACCTTTCAGCCCTGGCCTGTTTGGCTCAGCGGTTGGAGCATTGGCCTGCGGACCAGATAGTCCCGGGTTCGGTTCCCGCTAGGGGCACATACGAAAAAAAAAAAAATCACCTTTCAAACGATTTTTTTAAATGCTTCTGAACAGACTGAAATCATTTTACCAGAGCTTATCAACTGAGATATTTTCTCCTTTCCTAACCTAAAATTCAACATAGCTATAGATACATTTACAGTATTCTTTTGGAGATACAGGCTGCTGTAGGGGAAGAGAGCATAATTTGAAGACACAGGTTCTATCTCTACCACTAACTAGCTGAGTTATCCTAAGTGTATTCATTGGCTGTCCATTTTCCCATCTGCATTGTGAGGGATTTAGATCTTTAAGAGTTCTTTCAGCCACCAAAACTATGATCTCATGTTCTTTTCTTCTCTTTTTGACAGAACTTACTATATGTTGCTGTATCTATGAGAGCTAAACTTAGCAAAGCAAGTGGCTTATATATGAAAACTTTCATTATGCAGCTAGATAAATAATATAGAGCAGGAATTTAAATCCTCTTTTTCTGCCTAAATATGTCAAATTGTCACAACAATCTCACTAAACACACTCTTTTCTTACAACTTGTGCCATCCTCCCAGGCTGATGAAGAAACAAAGAGCTCTCAGCAAAGAGGGAGCTGCATCACAGGCTCCATGCTACTATGTTATGGTAGGGACTGATGGAACTAACCCAAACTTGTACTCTAGACTTACTCAAGGGAAATCATCATCACTCTTGCTGTATGAAGTCTTAAATGAGAAACCAGGGACCATTTTCAGTTTAAAGAATGATCCCACATTTGCCACTCTCCTGAATCTTCATGCCCCCACCAATCTTCCCACACAAAACCACCAATTCCAAGATACTATGCTATAACTTACCCTGGAGACTTGCTGGGTTTTGTACTCTAGTTTCCTTGCAGGGAGCTGGGGATGAAAAAAATATAACTGGGTGACACGGATCCTGCCGATAACTGACAAATTTGTTGTTGAAAGAGGAAGTTGAGTGAATTTTGTGTCTCACCACAGAAACCTTATTTGCACAGACTGAAGGTAAGTCCCTTGAGCAGATGACGCTACTAAAGATTTATTTCATTTTTATTTTATTGGTGCAAAGAAATTCAAAGAGCGTAGAGCAAAAGGCTGTGCAAAATAATATAGATATATATATATCTGCATATCAGCTTTCTTCACTGTTCCTTACATTATGTCCTTCTACCACAACCCACATGCCTATCTTTCTTACTAGATTCCAGTAGGCTCCATGGCAAGATGTGATTTTGAGACAAAATATGAAAAGAGTTTATTTATCTAAGAACAAGAAAGCTGCAACTGCTTCAACCATGAAGTGCAAAGGGCAAAGAAATCTTAGGAATACAAATCAGAACTAAGAGCAATTGGACTACCTTTGCCTAACCTGTTTCCTCTAGAGTGTGTTTCTATGAGTTTATTTCAAGGCTTATAATCTAATGTGCAAATTAGTTATTTTTGTATTTTTTTACTCCCTTTGTATACTACAAACTGCTTGAGGGCAAAGATCATGTCTGACTTATCTCTGCATTTCCAACCAGTCCAGCACAAGGCACTCTCATGAATCTTTATGAATAATGTCTACCGGGATTTTTTTAAATATTCAAATAAAGAATTATCGTACTCTTAGGGACTATAGTGTCAGCCAAGTCTGAGTGTAGTTCTGAGAAATAAAACTTGCAAAGCAGCATGAACCTCTGTGGGCATGTAAGGGAACCACATTCAGAAACCATGGCCTGGAACTGCAAAGAGCTTTCTGGGTACTAGCCATAGCAAAAGAAAAAAAAAAAAAGTACTGTGTGTTAGGTCAAACAGTAGCATTTGGATTTATGGATAAGACTGAATAAAAAAGGAAGTAGATGACAATATTTTTTTTGTAATAGGGCAAACTGAATCTGCAACAAGATCTCCTTATAAAACCAGCACCCTTCAAGAACTAGATGGAGACATGCCCAATACTCAGAAATGTCTAATACAAATTTCAAGGGCACTAAGAGATGGAAAAGAGACACTTTCAGCAGTAGAAACTAAGAGCATGAACTGATTGATGAAAAGGCCATAACTTGTGAGGACTGGCAAAGGGAGAGGATACCCCTCCTGGCTGAGGTATAGCAAATGAAACATGCTTGACCTTGCAATCCTCTTCTTAGTTCTGATTTCATATATTTATCCAGCCCCAATCTGTTGTTAATTTAGTATTCTGACTTGGCATCCCTACTGAAAAGAAAATATACTGACAGGCCAACACACATTTCAGTCCACTTGGCAATTCTGTTCCTTACTATAAATTATTAAATTGGCTTTCTGGTACAAATCCATCCCTTGTGAGTTCAGGCAGCATAAGCCAGTTTTCCTACAGTATGATCCTACTCTGGACAAAAAAATTCCAAACCTTTTGAGCTTTAAAGCCAAACCCTGGGAGAAAAAGAGAAAAGGAATGCTTTCTTGACAATTACCTATTAACACTACCTCCCACCTTCATTTCACAGATATCTTAACATTGCTAAAAAGAAAACCTGCATGCTTACCTCACTTCTCTCTTGCATGCAAGTATCCTCTCCTTTCATTGGCCCTAAAAAGGGAAGCAAAAGTATCTCAGAAGTCTGTGAACCAATTTAGGCAAAGGAAATTTCAACTCAGGTAAAGTTTTGAGTGTTGATTAAAACAACAAAAGCTGATAATTTAACAATTATCTGACAGACTTTTAGAAGAGAGTCTACTAATTATTGAGTATGACTGATAGTCTGGGAATCATTATTGCCTCAAACCAAGTAATAAATATCAAGTCCTAAGAGTCTAAAAATAGTACAGCTGAAACAATTTGCCCATACTTCTGAACTCTTTATGTATTCACTCAAAGTTTACTTTAACTGGTGCATCATATATTCACTAATCTGAGGAAAGTTTATAAATAGGTGTTTCAAGGGCTTTTAGGTCTTCTCTAACAGTAACAGTAGATTAGGGGTGATAGCTATTATTGAATACATTATTTATTAAAATACACTGTGTTTTCTTAGAGAACCCAAGAGTACTACCTGATTTTAGTATTAGGAAGAACTAGATTTTTCCTAAGTAATTTGTTTGATTTGGTTCTTATGGATAATTGTGTCAAGTGTCTCTTTTTACATAGTCTGAAAAACCTGGAACTAATTTGTTGTCTACTGGTAGCAAGTTTGGAGATCTTTCTATAGTGTACTTTTAAAAATAATTATTAAATTTATTAAGGTAACATGGGTTAATAATATTATATAGGTTTCTCAAGTGTACAGTTCTATAATCTATCATCTGTATATTGCTTTGTGTGTTCACCATCCAAAGAGTCTACTTCCATCACTATCTATTTGACCCCTTTTACTGTCTTGTACCTTCTCCCCACCCTCCTTTCCTTCTGGTAACCAACATACTGTTGTCTGTGTCTATGAGTTTTTTGTTTAATTTTATTGTTTGTTTGTTGCTTTGTTTTATGTCCCACATATGACTGAAATTATATGGTTCTTGATTTCTTCTGTCTGACTTATTTTGCTTAGAATGTGGTACATATATGCAATGGAATACTACTCAACCATAAGAAAAGATGAAATACTGTCATTTGCAACAACATGTATAGGTCATGAGAATATGGTACACTTTTTTTATTATTCTATTTCATGGCTCTATTCTTATGTTCTTGAAGATCTTTTCTTTATTATTTTCCATCTTACTATTTAGTTGTATTATGTTATAATAATATGAATCCTTCCAAACCACCTTCAACCTTTTCTGGAACAATAGTGAAATAAAAAAGTAAGAGAGGAGAGGAGAGGAGAGGAGAGGAGAGGAGAGGAGAGGAGAGGAGAGGAGAGGAGAGGAGAGGAGAGGAGAGGAGAGGAGAGGAGAGGAGAGGAGAGGAGAGGAGAGGAGAGGAGAGGAGAGGAGAGGAGAGGAGAGGAGAGGAGAGGAGAGGAGAGGAGAGGAGAGGAGAAGGGAGGAGAAGGGAGGAGAAGGGAGGAGAGGAGAGGAAGGAAGAATGAACTGTGACCTCAATTCCTTTTGAGTTAGAAGTAGTGAATATTAATTGCTTTAGATGAACTGTCTTCAGGAGTTTTCCATATCTGCTTTTATATCCACAGACTATCCCTGTACTTTGTTTGGAATTAATCATTCAACAAGTACTTAAGGAGCTAAAGCAATGAGAAATTTTGTTGGATTCTGAGCAGATAGGGTGGGATTCAGAAGCATAAAATATGTCCCCTATCCTCCAAGAGTCCATTTTAAGTGACAAGTTAATCACTCATAAAATAATTAGAAAATATAGCATAGTAAATGATTCATTATTAAGTTATGGGAATGTTAAGAAGATGAGTTCACTATGGGCTGGACTTGTTTGGTAAGATTGGGTGGTTCTTGCTTAATAGACAAGTTTGGTTTAAGCAGTGTTCCCAATGGGTTGAATGTGTCTCACTGAAATCATGCAATGTTACTTTTGGTAGTACAAGGAATAACTTTTTAAACATTTTCAAGTTATATATTTGTTTAAGGCTTTAAAATGTAATACAATTAGCACTTCACATTTTTTATTTCATGGAAAATATTATTTAGGATAAGGCAAAGGTAGTTAGCTAAGATGTAAAAAGTGTGACTTAACAAACACAAACAAATATAGAAGGTAAGCAGACAGTAAAAACTATGAACAGTTGAGTATCTGAAATTTGGCATATACCAGCTTAAAGAAAGGAGAGAAGGCAAGGCTTTTCAGAAGAGAGAAGAAATATTCCCAAGGATATGAATGAAGAGTAACGTGTACTATTCATGTGATAGTGAGGACAAACTTTTGACTAAAGCATAGGGTATGCTAGGGGGGAACAACAACAACAACAAAAAAGCTTGGAGAGTGTAACCCAACAAAAAAGATCTTAGGGTATAGAACTCTTAGGATCCAGGAAGTCTTTGAAGGGTTTTAGATACACTTGAGGAAAGGAGATAAAATTCTTATTCATTTAGTACTTTCTATGTACTGGTCATCATTCAAGGCAATTTACACACATCATTTCAGTTAATTCTCAGAACAAACTAGTGGAGTAGGGGCTAATATTATATCCTTATTCATGAGTGAATCAAAGCACAGAGAGGTTAATCATCTTCCCTAAGATCATACAGGTAAGTAGGAGAGGCAAGATTCACACTAACTCTGTCTCCAGAACCCAACCTTGTTTCTACCACTGCCTGAAAGATTGCTGGGACATAGGTGCACAGAATAAATTGGAGAAGGGACAAAACAAGTGGTGGAGGGCCCTGTTGGAGAATATATCAATAATTTACATTTAAAGTGATAAGAGCATGGATTAGGGTAGTTACAGTAAGAATGAAGATAGAGGGTAATTTCAAAAGAATTATTTATCTTAAAAAAGCACTTAAAACTGTAATAAGTAAAATGAAACAGGAAATGAATCTTCACGAGTAGAAATAAATCAGTCTTTAAGGGGTTTAATTTTTGCATAGTGTTTATTAAAACGTTTTTCAGTCATACACTGAAGTATCTTCCTTCAATGAAAGAAATACATTATAGCTGAAGAAGGGGTGCATTTTTGTGAGCCCCAGAGGTTTGTATTGAAGACTGGTATCAGCACAGAGCAATTTTTTAAGTCACTCTGTGAGGAACCTGCAGTCCTGAAAAGGGAAATGGTTTTCTCTCACAGGATGTGAATTTCTAAAGAAATGTATTGCAGATAATTTTCATACAAAGATATTTTCAGCTAAAGAACTGGGTGGTTGTATATACATGTTGTGAACATGAATGATGGAATTCCCTCTAATTCTTGGTGATTTATTTGGTTCTGTTACAGTAAGTAGTTAGTTATTAACAAAGGAAGGGAGCAAATGGAATCAGACATCAAACTTATTAACTAGGAA